AAAGTTATCATCAGGATTTTTAAATTATTTTTTTTATTGTCAGGGAAGCAAGCAAAAGCTGTCAAGGGAAATACCCCAGCATTGGTGGCAATGGCTTAAAACTGCAGCACTATTACAGTTGATGAATAAACATTGATCCAGCTGAGAAATAAACCCACATTCCTTTATCCTCATGCTTTTGAACCTTTTCTGAGGCTTGGAATTCTCATTCCAAATGTCTTAGTTGCAGAAAAGCTAGATGCAGATCAAGGGAGCAGGGAAGGCTGGCAGGGGTGTGGGTGTGTGCTCAGGGTGTTCATCTATTCTTCCAAGCTTTTACTGACTGGTGGTGGCCTGTTCATCCTCTGAAGAACAGTGCCTGGGATAAGGCAGAGTCCAGCATCACCCACAGTGTGTTATTTAGCTGTTCCTTGCAAACCAGATACATCCATCCATCCAAATGTAACCACCAGAAGAACCTCATTTTAGGTTGCCAGCCAACAGTGAATTCACTGACTACTAGGAATAACGCAGAGGTTGTTTCCAGGGATTACAGAGTGCTTATTTCATATCTGTAAGTGTCAATTATCAAGACTGGCAAGTACGATCTCTTTGACCTGTTATATTTATTTCTGTTTAAGAATCCTAAGAAGTTTAAGGATTAAAATAGGAGCTTTCCAAATCCAAATATACCATGATACCTTCTCAAACTGCATTACAAACATGAATATAAAAAGTTGTGCAAAGTCCCATTGGGCATTAAGGGGAACATCGTAAGAGACTGCCTCTTCCTCACATGATCCTCCTTACACCATGCAGCTAGCAGGGAGGTGTAACAAAGCCAAAATTTGACAGCACTGGGATCACTATACAACAGTTTATAGATAGAAAGAGAAATGCATCCAAATACAAGGGCTATTCAGACAGGTAGACTATCTCCCCAGCATTGATTCCAGATGGGGCAAAGGGGTTGGCTTCTCTACAGTGTATAATAACGTCAGGTCAGAACAGAGAAGATTAACAATCTTGAAGAGCACAAAACCAAGATATCAGTGATGAAGTAATGAATCAATTCACATATGAAGAGAAATTCCTTAGCTCCTGTGTCACTCGAGCCACAAACAGAGTCATTCTGAAATTAGAGAGCATGCCTGAACAATGATTCATGCCCTTGTTTTCCTTCCCATATAAATATTTTATTTATGCCTCAGTCACAATAGGCACAAAAGCTATTCTGGAACGTAAGTCCCAGATTTACTTGTGAATGATTTAGATTGGTGTTTATGACTGAGTTCATTAACTGAAGGTAATTAACAATCAACTCACTGATTTTAAAATATCAGTTCCCTCTCTTCCCTCCACCCCCAAGCATGGAAGAATATAAACTGCCTGGAAGACCAGTTTAGTCCTAATGATTTCCAGTTCACTTCCATGTTCCCTACAGTTCTGTTGTTATTTTTTGTCGTATTCTGCTGTTATTAAATGGACACTGGTGGCAGGCTAGTGAAACCCACAGTAGTTCAGATCTATTCACCAGCTCTCACCTGGAACACAACTTGGCTGAGTACATCTCATCTTCAGCCCTTTCACTATAACCACAACGGAGGCATAACAATAAAGCCTGATTACTGCTTCTTTGGTTCTTCCCCTGGATCCCTCCCTCCTCTTCTATTTCCCTCTCATGCTCAAAAAAGCTTTGGTCCACTCCCTTGTGATAGCAGATGACTGACACATCACTTCAAGCTGGGGGGCTACAGCACTAATCCTAGAGTGCTGATGACACTGCAGGGAATGGCACAGAGCACTCCAGTACTCCTGATGGATGCTCCGGGCAGGAACTCTATGACCCTACGGTGACAAGATACTAGAGTTAAAGGAACATTATTAGCATTGCAATGAACTGCTACAATCCACTCAGTGCCTTTATTATGTGGAGCTAGTGTTGTCTGGGGGCTAGCACACATGCACACACATGCAAAAGAAGGGAAGACAAAATAACAGAATATAAAATAATAGAATAAATAAAAGGGTGTTCTGCACCTGAACAAAGACATAATCATCCTGGACGATCAGGGAGTTATGGTCAATATAGCCTGGAAAGGGTTTGCTGCGAGTGGCTTCACTGCAGTTCTGCATCTTGCAGGTGATATATTGGGCGTCTGAAAGGAAAAGAACAAAACCAAGACCCTTGAGATCCTGAGCACAGATCCCTCCTACTGTCACAAACCTATTTGCTGAGGCTGCATTTCTGCTTCCCAGCCTCATGTGACATAAAATGACACCACCCATTCAATACATCACAACACTTCTTTCTCTTACACCCCTCATAAATCCACCCTTGATTACTTTCTTCTTCTAAGTTGCTTCTTCACCTGTCTCAGCCTCCCATTATTTCTTTCATTCCACCCTACATCAGAGCTATACGTTTCTCTTTTATACCAAGAGAGAGCCCAGCATAGATGATCTGATTATTCCATGCCACTCTTTTGGTTCCATGCTGAAAGTAGAGCAGAAGGCAGCATTTGAAGGCAGCACAATGTAATGCTTGTGGCTCAGGTCTGACGGAAACCTAGTCAAGGGTACATCATTCAGCACTGTTACCTGCCCTGCTGAGTTTACTTGGATGCTACCCAGGCTTAACCTGAAAGCAAGGAACTGAGTGAGGGAACAACAGAGCTGTGAAGGACCCTTTACAGAGGGAACAAACAGCCCAAATCTTGTGACTCCCAAAGTAACCATGGGTCTGAAGAGTTGTGTCTATGCTGCAGGACAGATCCTCTCTGTGCTGAGCCTCTACAGATTCCCTGTCATCCCCACCATGTGGGATTTGCTGTAGAGCATGACATCTTCTCCATGGTCACATGCTGAGTTTATTTAGAATGTGGCCATGGTCCAGAGCATACACAAGTATGAGGACACCTTTGGAGGACACCTGCCCCATAGCGTCACCACTGAGAACCCCTCCCATGGCGCACCTCTGTATTTCCTACAGCACTTACACTCTGCAGCGTAATGCAGATCACCTTGGAAAGTAATTCAGATCACCCCCCATTCAGGGGTTTTGCCTACTTCTCTGTTGACAGTGTAGGTAGATGCGCTCCGGCAGACCTGGGCAATCATTCCACACTCTCTTGAAACCAGAGGCCTAGCAGTTTCAATCAGCCATATGTTTCAAAGTAAACGGCCTAAATGCAGCCTTAAAGCCATCTCATCCACTGTCGCTGTATGAGATGTCCTCATCTCCTATGCTGAAGCACTGCAGGGTGCTCATCTCATAACTCATCACCTGAAGAAAAACAATTTGAATTTTTTCATGGTGGTAATTTCTCCTCGAATACAGAACCAGATTCTCAGTACTCAAATTTGTGCTCTTTCAGATCAATTAAGAAGTTGCTCTGTTTAATGACAAAGCTGATTTACAGGAAGGATTTTGGTATTTTAGCATTAGCACTACAGAAACACTACATGGCATTTAATCTTAGAACCGCTTCTAATCTTTTTCCTTGTTGGAGAAGCGCAGCCCCTTGTTTGATATAATTACTACTTTCTGATCAGAGAAGTAGCATTTTACACTGAAATAGAAATGACTGGATTTTTACCATCTCATATTTAATGTTGGTTTTAATTAAAATCTATGATTTGACATTTCTTTCCTTGCTTCTAAGGGCTGTTGACTTCTGCTTGAAACAGACGTGCAGGGTAACGAACCTTCAGGGAAGTTTGATGAGGGATGATTTTCCCCCAGCATTTGCAGAGTTCTTGGAATCTATAAAGTGCTAAGTATTATTAGTCACTGTGGTTTGTAACATTCTATGCTTTCGCAGCTCACTGCAGAATATTAATTAATACAGCCTGGACAGCATGATCAAAACGCATTTCCCTTCAGAGGGATATGATTTTTTCCACATTAGCCACGAGAGGGCAGGGAACGACATAACTCCCAGCCTGCTCATTCCAGTGAGCTCAGGAAAGTTCCCTTTCAGAGTTGTTCAGCCCTCCATCCCTCTGCTCCCAGCAAGAAAGGGGATGATGGGGCCAGAGTCTCTTCCAGCGCCAATAATACTGTGTGGTGCAGCATGCCCTTTTTTAGCCATAAAACAGAGAACAGGAATGCATCTCTTCACCTGCAACACAACCAATTTCCACTTCTCCTGTTAATTCAATCCATTTTATCATGAAGGACAGCCCCCCCATACCTGCCCCCACATTCATCTCTGCCCATTCTGGAGTCCTGAATGAAATGTCTGGCAATCCTGAGCTTAAACAAAGTGGCATCAGTTGAAATGGCTGCCCCCCCGCCCCCTGAGCTGTTGGCAAGACTGGGTGGCTTTTCACACATGGGACTGAATCACCCAGCATAGAGCTATATAGGATCAGACCTCTGTTTCTCACCTCATTTCCATTTTTTCCCCCACAACCGTTGTTCCGTTTCACTTCCATGGGCACACTGTCTGTCTGGGAGATGCTAAGAGGAGACTGCAGTGCCGTCTCACTGCCCATGCAAACAGGTTATCTGTCCTGAGAGCGCAGGGAGGCAACAGGACGGGTGCTGCTGGGGCCAGCCAGCAACGAAAGAATCTCCTCCGCAAGAGATTTTAAAGAGCAGGCCAGGTTGACATCCATTAGAGGTGACTGAAGTTTTTTTGATCCTGTTTTAATGGAGGAACAGGGACTATGTCTATTCATGCTGTGATCGGAGGAGTCTGTACAGTAGTGATTGTACCATTGATGAAGATTTACTAAGGCAATTCCTGTGAACTTTTACAGTGCAATTCTCCACGGCTTCAATTCTAAATGGCCAGTAATAACTACTAAAGGGCAGAGCACTGAAATTGCTTAAGCTAATCTCCCAAACAGCCAAACCCTGAGATGTGCACGCCAAGAAATCTCCCTCTGCTATGGGAGGCAAAGATGGGAAACAGTCGTCTTGCAGTGCCTGGACCCCTCTTCTTTCCAAAGGGAAGCTTTTCTGTGCTCACGTTAACTCAAGGATTTTGTTTTGGCATTTGATTCTCATGGACATTTTATGTGATTCCATTGGCAGAGCTTTGTAATTTAGCATTAATTAATGTCAATTAATGTATTCAATTGCTAAGCTCTGGAATTAATTTCATTAGTTTTCCTGCACAGATGTTTTCCCTGCCATAGGTAATTAGGACATTATGCTTTTCAGTTCCAGAACCCTCACCTCCAACAACAGCTGCTGTTTTTAATATACAACGAAGTCACGCTGTGCCTGGAGAGAAGAACATAGCAACTCCCAGCTCTTATACCCCCAGACACTTTGATTTTGACAGGTTTAGACACCTAGAGTAGGATTCTTCCTGGGGAATAGCAGCTATTTCTAAAGAGGAAGCAGGAAAAGTCAGAGAACACAAGAACGGAGGAGACATCTTGTAAGGGAAACCTCTGACAAAATGAATCTGTTTCAGCGGTGAAAGAGAATTGCAAATGCTAACACACAGCAAAAGTTAAGAGCCGGGGGAACCCTGTGCCATGAAATATTTTAGTCTGTTTAGCTCGAGCTCCATGCTAATATATTCTCAAGGGAAATGCATCCAGCCTGTCCCAGAGACATTTCTTGGCTCAGCTGGTGGGAGATGGGAGGTCGTTGGTGATTACTGGAGGTTGGTGAGCCTCTGCAGAAGTACAGGGGAGAGTTTCAAATCCTTTCCTAAAGCAGAGTAGGACTTTCTTCAGGATACTTTGCTGCCGAGTGTTATTTTGCATGACATATCAAACCATAATACCCACTGCTTTCTAGTCTAAGCTTGCATGTATATCTTCTGAAAACCTTATTTGATCACAGGGAGAGTCAGAGAAAATATTCACTGTACTCACTGGGAATGTATCATTCCTTCTGATTTTTATTTTTCTTGGTTTTAATTCATTGAGGAATGTGTCCTCTGCTCTACAAGTAAATCCACTAAGGACAAATCAGGAGTTTATGCAAAAAGCAGCCACACAATCTATGACTTGTCTTCCAGGTTTACCATGGAGTCTCCCAGTTCATTACTGAGCAGATTACACATTAGGGATAGTTTCTGCTTTTGAAAGATGACTGCCATTCTGTAACTAATGAACTGTAAGAACACGGTAGCAACATATCTCACTGAAAGACCCAGGCCTGTAACCCCTCTCCAACAGTGACTAATAACAGAAGCCTAGAAAAGATTATAAGAATTTGTCCAGGTGCCTTGGAAGGCCAGGTACACCCTCAGCATCCACAACCTCCCACGACAATGAGTACCACAATTTAATTAAACACTCTCCGATACATTAATCTTCCTACTCCTTTTTTTGAGAAGCACACAAAATGACTTTATCCATTTCCATCTGGTCTGAATATTGATTTGTGAAACATTTATGATATGGGAATATATTCATAACTCTCCAGGACTCAGCAACTGCAAAGCAATTAACCAGTAATGAAGATCAGTGAAATGAAGCCATCCCATTTACTAGCTACTCACAAATCTGGATTTATCCTGCTGCTACTCTTTCTTCATTGCATGTCAGAGTCAGGAATCTTCCTTTACATGGGGAAGTATATCCTCTGCCATTTTTGGCATAAGGATATAATTAGAGAAACTAACAGATGTCATTCTCCAGCACAAATACTAATCATGAGCAGGAAAAAATACTAATCATGATCAGGAAAAAAATCACTGCACAGGCTTAGAGCACTATGGGAATTAATTCACCACTCTAGCTATGTTAGCAAAAGACTGCCAGGTGAGGTTGCCTACTCATTTTTTCCACAGCAGTGATTATTTTATTCTTCCTTGCAATGTTCTGTGAAAACAGAAATTAAAGTCCTAGTACAACTTGGTGATTCAGACGCTGTTGGCCAGATGCTCAGTCCCTGTTGATCAGAAAGCAGAGCACGCTTGCTGACTCCAGGTGAGGCTCTGGTCTTACCTGCAACCACAGCAACACGTAAAATACCTAATTATTTTAATACCTGAGTTACCTTTCAATAAGAAAAGTTGCTGTGTAAATCAGGACAACAGAAGAAAAGCAAAGGAAACAAAAGCACTTTTTAAACATCAGGAGCTCTCTAAATTTTTGGTACCACATCAGAAAACCCCTTAGCTTCTTTCACCCACATTTAAAAAAAAAAATTACATAAATTAAAAACTTCGCTCAAAATCAATTGGCATCTATCTACACAAGCGAGTGCATATCTCATAAATGTAACAGTTGGTTTTCTTGACTTGCATCTATAGAAACTGTCACTCAGACATTCTCCGAGTCAGCTTTGCCATTCTGTGGAAAGCCAGTAGGTACCCAGTTAGTCTCCAAATGCCTTGTAAGAATCCATCTTTCTAATTCTCACCAACAGTCTGGATTCCTCAGTAGGGATCACATGCATAAAAATGACTTTCCGTGTCGATTAGCTTGAATCAGGCCTTACTGGGATAATCCCCCCTAGCTCAAATCGGATAAACCCATTCATTAAGGATCTTTCAGGACTTGTGTATTCTTTACAAACCTAAACCACATATCTTTAAGTTTACATACCTTCTGAAAGCTGCATTTGAGCACACCTGGATTTCACTTCCACCAGTCATTCTGTATGCTCACTGTGGTGGTGAACGTAACAAAGAGAAGCTTATTGCGTGGTTAAGAACTGGAGGAGATTGTTTGTCTTACTGGGGTGTTGAC